AGAAAATAAGAAAGAAAGAAAAGTTATTAATTTTATATGAACAACAATAACCTTATTATTTATAAAAATATTTATATAATAAAATATAATATTTTAACATATTATATATACTAATTTCTATCATATATTATTGATTGAAAAAAAAATTACAAATTATTTCATCCAATTTAAAATTTTATTTATTAAATTATTAAATATATAATAATCTTAAAATTTGAAGTTACAACCAAATATAAGATACTCACTTCACATCACAATAAAATTCATAGTTAATTAATTCATAATTAATTAATTTATAATTTATGAACAAGGTTAATTAAAATCTTAAATTCTTAAAAATGTCTACATCTTTTTAGTTATATCCTTATTAAATACCATATATAAGAGACTTAATAATAATAATTAAGATTTTAATACATTTTTTTTAAAAAAGTAGTGAATGGAGTAGGTTTATAGTTGAAAAGGCAAATATAAAAGTTATCAAATGTCTTATATTTTGAATTAGGTAAGATTTAAAAAAAAATGCTTTATATTATGTTCTAGAGGAAGTACTTAGCTAGAAATTATACTGAAGATTTATAACTAGCATTTTTTCAATTAATCTAAAAATTAAATATATTACTTGTTAAATAAAAGTCTATTATGAAAATATATCTATACTACAGACATCGTGATAAAAAAAGAAGTAAGAGATGGTAATGAAAAAATTAATGGATAAATTTAAAAATAAATTTTTCTCTCCAAAATTTATTCATATTTGAAGAGAAGAGTTAGATGTAAAAATATATGGGTCACACATATTATTTTTCTCTCACTTTTCTTAACCAAGTAAAAAAAAAAAAAGCTATTTTTTTTCACTTTTTCCCCATCATTTTTTTATTCTTGCCAAACATGGTATAAGAGTGGGTTGGGAAGAGTTCGCGCCTTGGTGGCACTAACGAATCCTTCGCTTATTTAAAATCTCAAATTCAAAGCCCATTCCAGCCGCTCCTCTGCCCTTCCATAATTTATTAGTTATTAATTTATAGTACAAGCCACTTTACTTTCTTTGACTAAACTACCTTTTTTCTCAGGGGAATTCACAAGTCCGCCACTTTTTCTCGGCTAACTGAAACTAGAGACTCCGTAAGATACTTATCCTATTCTGCTTATAAATCATTTTTATAAAATTTATCAAAATTAAATTGAGTTAGTTAAAATTTAAAATAATAAAATTATCTTAAAAATAAATAAATTTTTAATTTTAACTCTTAGATTCAGAAAAATAAAATAAGAGTTTTTTAAAAAAAATTTGAAATAGTCTGCTTGTTTTTATGATTTGTTAAAAAATACTTTCAAATTATACATCAAATGTTTGTATGTGAAAAAAATAAGAGAAAATAAATTACATAAAGGACCAAGTAAATTTTTAAAAATGTGATTAACAAATAGAGGAAGTAAAACTTTGCTTCTTTATAAGCAAGATTATTAATTGGTTATGTTGTGTGTGTTTCGAAATTAACTTTTTTTAGAAAAGTGATAAATGTTTTGACTACAGACATGACGTTGACTGCAAGTACTGATACACGACCACAATATTGACTCAAAAAAAAAAAAAAAAACACACACACACACACACATCCCAAAAGAAAAGGTTGGAGCAAAAATAAACATAAGCTATACTTAAGGATGGGGTTGCACCACACTAAAAATAATTTCTTTAAATTACTTTTTGATAGTGAAAAGTTTATATGAGTTGGATATTAAAAACTCTCCAAATCAATATATGTCTTTAGATTTAAGAATTATTTATAGAGATATTTAATTATTGACAGTAAAATTTAATTTCATAATTTTGTAAATTATGGACCAAATCATTATTGTATGTTGCATGGAGATATATTATACTAAAGAAATTAATAATGATTAACACTCTCCAGTCTCTAATGCAAAAATATTTTTTTACAAGTTATTGTTGATTCAAAAAATAAGATATTTTGTAATTTTAGAAAACATCTTTATGTTTTTTACTACATGTTGGTCAACATGGACTAGGTAATCATAGATGAAAAATTGTATGTTAACTATGAACAGGGATTTTGTTAAAAAAAACTATGAACAGGGATAGACCTGAAAAAATAAGTCAAAATTTCTTTTAAGTTTTAGAAAAAAGAAATTTTTTAAATGTGCTTGACATATTTTTTTTTAGTAAAAAGACAGTTATATTAACAAAAAGAAAAGAAAAGAAACGAAAAAGTAACTATAAGGTTAATGTTAAAACATAATTAATAAAACTACTATGAAAAGTAAAGGTGAGAAAAACATAATTTTCAGGACTACATTTTTGAATTATATAGCTATTAAAGTTTTTTATGAGAACATCTTGATTAAATAAGTGAATTCATGCTGAGCAGAAGCAAATTCCCTTATTATGCCAAACATGTAAATATCCCAAATTCGAATGATCATGAAAGAGATTTCGAGCAAAGTTCTAAATCAAGAGCAAAAAGGCTCAAAAGCAAACAGTCAAGAATAATTGAGGAAGTATTATTTCAGATCTACAAAAAAATGACTTCAATAAAGAAGAAGTGCTTGACATATGCTGAAAATTGTGTACTAAGGGGAGTACATGTTAATTTATTTATAATACTTTTTTTTTGAATAAACATTGAAAACGTCATTTAATCAAAAACGAACAACAATAACCAAGACTTAAAAAAAGGAAAAACAAGAACAAGAAACAGAGGCTCCTTTCATCGTACCCCGTCTTCAAGACACAAATTATCAATTGAAGTACGACAATATTCTTCAACCAAAAAAAAAAAAAAAAGCACGACCATATCTATTATCTAAGTAGCCTATTAGTAAAAACATTAGATTTCAATTCCTACTATTCTAATAATATTGGCCATTATTATTGACTACTTTTGTTGATGAAGTGGTTTAATCTACTCTATAGAGAGAGTATTTTATCAAAAGAAAAATGAATTGGAGAGAGTATCAGCAAATTAGGGCTCATTTGTTTTCGGTTTTTTTTTTAAATTATTTTCATTTTTTATTCTTAAAAACAAAAAATATAAAAAGATTTAAATTATTTTTATTTTATTTTATTGTTTTTAAAATATAATACCTTTTATTATTAAAAATTACAGTTAATTTGACTAATTTTTATTATAAATCACTTATCTATAACTCATTATCAGTTTATTTTTAAGAATTATTTTTAAATTAAAACAACTAAACGAATTTTCATCTTCTTTTATTTTAAAAACTGTATTGTAAAATAATTTTTAAAAATAAAAAATGAGGAGAAAAACCAATCAGACATTTGGAAGCATATTTATTTCTCTAATTCTATTTATAAATCACTTCTAACATATTTCACTAGCATTAAGAATAATCTTAAAACTTATTAATTTTATTTTAAAATTTAATAAGTTATCAACTTTGCCCTTATTAAATATATATAATTTACTAATATATTTTTTAACAGTAAATAAAAAATAAAAATTTATAATAAAATTTAATAATATGATTTATAAAAAAATTAATTTAATTTTATTTCTTTACGTTCCATAAATAAGATCACAAAGAATAGTTGTTTTGCCCTGAATGAAAGACAGATAATGGATATTGGATTTAGGAGCAAAAGACGAGACAACTTTCAATTTCAAATCATTACGACGTTAAAAGGTACCTGTCCCTCCTTGGCCATCAGCCCATGAGCAGACCCAGAAGTTCATCCAGATGCTTGAAGTTGAAGTTGAAGGTTGAAAACCCGGAGCTATGGCCGTGCAGTCCACGGCCACCTAATGCGCGTGGTTCAGCTATCTTCTTGGTAGACGTAAAGAATCCAACGTCTATAAATCCATAGCGTCAAGCTAGCCCCCACGTCATTTCAAATTAAAAATCAATGAATAATTAATAAATATATAAAATATATACTTCTTTCACAACAAAATATAAAATATTTTTAATTAAATTTTATTTTTTAATAAAATAATTATCTATTTTTAAATTAATTTTATCTTTTTAAATTTATTTTTATTAAATATTTTATAATAAATATAAAGTTATTTATTAATTAGGATACTTTTATAAAAAAAGTAATAATTATATTTTAAAAAATTAAAAATATCTTACATCTTTAAATAAAGAGGGTAATTTTTTTTAAATCAAACTTTATTTTATAAAACTAATCAAATATTCTCAAATTTTTTCAATCTCTGACTGGTGTTTGAAACTCAATTTTCAAAAACTAGTTTTACCTCTTTGTAAATCAATTTTAAGAAATATTATTTAAATATTACCATATTTTGTTAATCAATTTTTTTTACTTAAAATCCAAACAATTTTATATTATATTTTTTTGTGCTAGCAGATGAGAAAATTTTGGAGGTAGTTTATTGTCTCAAATGTAAGATAACACAACAAAAATAAGTTTTTGTTAAATATATTTTGAAATATTATTTTTCTGTATTTATTATATTTTCTCTCTAATCTTTATATTAAATGAAGCATTTGGAAATTTATATTGTTGTTTTTTTTAAAAAATAAAATTATAAATGTTTTAATAAATTAATATACATAATTTTATTTAAAATATATTATAAATTAGAATAGAAATATTTGATTTCAATTAATTAATTTAGAAACTTTATAATAAAATTAATAAAGATTAATATAATTGGTAAAATTTAACTCTTAAATTATAAGGTCGCGTGAACAATTCCCTCTCATTGTGTGAAAATATTGTTATAAATTATTTATAAATATTTTTACAAACACTCATTAAATTTAAAATTATATTTTAAATTTTTAAAACTCAACGCACTTTTAAATTTTAGTTATAAAAAAACTCACCAACCTAAATTATGGCACAAAAAACCTTTATAATGAAAAGTGGTGTATGATTTGTCCTTTCTTCCGTTGTTTTATTTAAATTTAAATTTAAAATATTTTTAGAATTTCCGTTTCACCTGGATTGAATATTATATTTCTCGTCCCAGTCGACCGTCTCAATGATTCAAGGGGGGTCCGGATCGTTTTCTCACATTCTTCTGCGTTTATCAATCTCTCTCACCTTCCTTTCCCCTGGCCCCTTCCCCATCTCTCTGGCTTCAATTTCGCAGCCGAAAGCATCTGATAAGGAGAATTTCCATCTAGGTTTTCTGGTGATGTATTCTCGTCATCTTGTGTGGAACTGTGCGAGCAAATTGTTCTGTTTCTGAGTTCATTGGAGGTTTTGATGCTTCCTTCGAGTTTTTTCTTCCCGAACATCGTGCTCTGTGTGCTTATGCTTTTCCTTTTCGCTAAGCAAATTTTTTTATTTATAAATCTGTATTTGCAATTTCTTTCTTGTTTTGTTAGGATTGTCGAGATTCTTGATATAGGGTTGCGGATTAGGGTTTTACCAGTTGGTGATCTGCAAGTATGCTTTTCAAATTCCTGTTTAGTCTTCCTATGATGTACGGTAGATGAATCAGGTTCTGAAAATGTCTGATTGTGCCTGCACCAAAATGCTTTTATAGTTCTTGCAGACTTTTCGAGTCGTCTGGATTTTACGAATTACAGGCGAGTTACTTGGTTCTAATTATATATGATTATGAGGAATTCTACGTGGTAAATTGGTAATTGATGTGCGCGCGTGTGTGTTGGGGGGCGGCGGCGGCGGCGCCGGTTATCTTCTATTTCTACTTGAAGCAGACTTGTTGTTCAAGCTACTAGCTATTTGTTCTGTGATGTGTGCAGCTTTTTACGTTTCGGTTACGTGTGAATGTATTTGCGGTTGTGTTCTTACCGGGGATTTTGTCTGGAGGGATAGTTGAATTGAATGGGTTGATGGAAATGTTCTTTGGGGCTCTTGGGCGAAATAAAATAAAAGAGTGATTTTTTTTTTTACACTATTATCTAAGGGCATTGAGATGCAAACTCGGGGCGTCAATATATATAATGCTTATTGTCTTTGCTATATTCTCTTCCATTATGCTAAATATACGACAATTCATACCATTTGGTAGTTCATTCATGGCAGCTTTTAACTGAAGTCAAGCCATATATTTTCTCATATTAATCAGAAATATTTTTGCAGGTCCGTTTACCGCTCAGATTTTTCCTTCACCTTGGGCTGAAAATTTGATACTCCAGTGCATTGTTTAGTAAAGGGCTCTTCCCTTGTTAATTGGCAGCTGAATAAAAGATCTACTTCAATTTCATTTGTGCAGATATGGTAAGTATATTTCTCTTAACGTACGGATACTGTTGCTGGCAACTCTATCATCTAGGCTTACAATTATTGGCCTTGCACACATGAATTTTGCCAAGTAAAATTATTCAGGAGTAGTTTAACCTCCTGTTCTGGAATTAGGTATCTCTTGGCATACAACAATTAATCTCTGTTCATATACCTGCGCTTGTTGGCAATGGTTTAGGATAACAACTACCAATAGCCTGATAGTTTAAAGATGTATATCTTGGATTGTATATAGCTGAGGGCTCTCTCTGGAAATAAGGCTGATATGGACCTATCCTGATTTAATTTATCATAATTTATTTTGTACAATTGGAATGGAAATTATGTGGAAGAATTCGTAAAGCTAATTACACGCAATATTATTTGATGACACTTGGAGCCTTCTTCATGATGGCATTGTGTTGCTTACTAGTTCATACACAATAATAGGCGTGCTTGTTTCAGTACTGATTTTTCCTTGTCCTTAAGTTTTTTTTGTGGTATCTTTGTTTCAGGCAACTAATGAAAATCTTCCACCAAATGTAATAAAGCAACTGGCCAAGGAATTGAAAAATCTTGATGATTCCCCTCCTGAGGGCATTAAAGTTGTTGTAAATGATGATGACTTTTCAACAATATATGCTGACATTGATGGCCCAGGCATGGAATTTTGTTTTGTAAGTTTATTTTCGAGTATTATGTGAAGAAATCAAGCTGAACCTTAGTTAATTATACTTGCAGCTGGGACTCCTTATGAAAATGGAGTTTTCCGTATGAAGTTGTTACTATCTCATGACTTTCCACACTCTCCACCTAAAGGTGAGTTTAGATGGACCTTTTTATGATTTGCTCGACATTCTGGACAGTGAGTTATAATATGGTGTGCAATTTTTAATCAGTGTTTCGTAAAATCTAAGTAGGCTTCTGTGCATTGTATGAAATTAGTATAATGTGGTGCATCGTTCACAGCTTATAAATAGTGCGACTTGATATAAATTTTACTTTACATATTGTTATTTTCTCTTCTACTTGTTGAAATTTAATTTTTCATAGAGTCTGTTTCTCATTTAAGGCAAGGACATATATCTGCTCAGCAGTCCTGTTTCACTTTCCCTGCCTAAAATAATTGCATCCATTTTTCGTCATTTTTAAAGCATTGTTGACTGATGCAACTATCTAAAAATATTGTAGGTTATTTCTTGACTAAGATTTTCCATCCTAACATTGCAACCAATGGAGAGATTTGTGTCAACACATTGAAAAAGGATTGGAATCCTACCCTTGGTTTACGACATGTTCTCATTGTAAGTGTGTTATTGTATTTGATTGTTCTTGTCATAAAAATTTCATGGTTTAAATATGCATGCTGGTTGAGCACTGCCATCTTAGATTTTACGATTTATTAAACATGGTTATCCATTATTGCTTTTCCTATTAATGCTGATTCTTATTTTAAACAGGTAGTCAGGTGTCTCTTGATTGAACCATTTCCAGAGTCAGCTCTAAATGAGCAAGCTGGCAAAATGCTGCTCGAAAATTATGAGGAGTATGCTAGACATGCCAGGTTAGCAGACATATATATGATATATCTGTTTTTTTTTTTTTTAATATGCTTCTTGAGCTATCGTTTGAATTGCAGTTATTGCCTTCATTCTGATATCTGAACAATGATCTTGGATGACATTACTCATGTTCACATAAAAAATGCACTATCCATTTTAATTGTAAACATATAGTATTTCTGATTCTCATTTTGATAAATATGCTTATTTTCCTCCCTATGTGAGCGAACAAGCTTAATGGTTGCATTGCACTTAGGCTTTACACGGGAATCCATGCAAAACCGAAGCCGAAATTTAAAACTGGAGCTATATCTGAGTCGACGACTGCATTGAATGTTGATCAGACCAATACCTCAGTTCTTAATAGTGAAGTGAAAAATGTCGAATCGGGTGCTGCAATGCCATTGCAGCCACCATTGGGGCAGTCAGCCGCCATAGTAAGAGGAAACAATCTAGAACAGGCAGCTACTGCAAAAGCAGATACGCTTTTTAATGGATCTAGTGCTGCAACAGTAGCTCCGGCTGCACTAATAACACAAAAGAAGGAAACCGGAGCAGCAAAAGTTCAGGCAGACAAGAAGAAGATGGATGCCAGAAAGAAAAGTTTGAAAAGATTGTAATGAAGTCGTTCAATAATTGATCTTTTTATTTGTTGCTAGTTGATAGAAAGGGAGGAGGGGAAAATGTGTGGCTGCCTAGGGAAAATGTACGTTGATGATTACTCCCTATGAGATGATGAAATTGGACTGGTTTTGTGCCTTGGTTTTAAGTATCAAGCACGTGACTGAGTGAATATTTTTGCTTTGCTTTTGTGTTGGTTCCGAGAAGTCATAAATTTATAATGGGTAAAAGTGCATATTTACCTTTAAAATATTCTCTAATGAGCACTTAACTCTAAATTACTTGTAGAAACAATTTTGTCCTTGAAATAATTTAAACAGGATATTTTTGTCCATGCTCATCAAATTCTCAATGTTGATTGTTAAAAAATGCAACTTGAATTTCAATGTGGACCATTAGAAAATTTAACAATCAAGATAAAAATGTTTTATTTTAATTACTTTAAGGGTATCATTGCCTCGATTAATAGTTTAGAGTGTTGTGTGCCTTTTAAAGAATATTTTAAAGGTAAAAATATACCTATATTCATTTATAATAGATAATGGAAGGGATGGGCAATCTATTTAACAATTTTTTTCTCTTAACTAATTTTTTAGTTGTTTAAAGTAGAATGATGCCTTATATTTTAGTTATCATATTTTATTAAACAATAAGGAGTAGACAAGTAGTAGTTGTCACTTGTCATGTTATCAATCTAATACATTGATTTCCTGGTCCGTTGAGCCAATACCAAGTAACTAACATATTATGTGAAGAAAAATTTGTTCGTGATCTTTATGCCATTTGAAAAAGATCCTTAACACAAAATAAGTACTTTTTTTTTAGCAGAAGTGGAATATCATAAAACAAATATGTACAAGTTTACAAGCAACAAGAGAAAAAAAGACTTGAAGCATCACGATCAATGGTTTTTACCAGATCATGTGTTTTAACAGTGGCATCAACTAAGTTATAGACAGAGAGCATAATGCTATGAGGTTAATTAACTTCATCTAACAATATTCGTCTATTTTTACTAGCCTAGAGTTTTTAGCAAAAGGTGCCAAAGCTAAGTCTCCAATATGTGTCTATGAGACAAGGGTTTAGATTCCAAAGCATCCACTCATTAAAGGGTTCAATGAATAAAGATGAGAACCTAGTTTGAGGTAGAACTGGCATTCAACAAGCATTTGCCATGGGGCCAATGGCGAAGGATATGATCTATGTCCTCAATCTTAGCATGACAGCTGGGGCAAGCAGCATCTGTCGTCAAACTTCTTCAAAATCTCTCAACATTGGTGAGTAAATGACATTCATCATCAGCTAAAGGAATGTTCTTATTGAGCATGAATTTGAGCCAACCTAAGCCATTTCCAAATTTACTTCCAATAGTAATCTAGCTCATCCTAATCATTTTCCAATAAGGCCACATATGCTGAAGCTACTATGAACTCCTTATGGGACCCGAGATTCTAATAGCATGATACTTGATTGTTAGCTGAGGAAGGGGTATGGTGGTAGCAATATGGGTACAAACATTAGGTGGAAGAAGCCCTTGAAGTAGGCTCCAATGCCATTGACCAATGTCATTACATAGTCACATACTGGGCAATAGAGATCAACATTAGATACATCTGCATATGTAAGGAGTTTGAGTGACCCTATTTCTCCCACCTGGTTATCTTGCTAAAAGTAAATGCATCTACCATCTCCCATGAGTCAAGTTGTATGAAGCTCCACATTAGGCTATATTTTTGCCATACTACTTCAAAAGTGAGAAGTGTTTTTTACATTGAAATCATACCCTATGTTTTTTGGCTAGTTATATTTGGTATGGAGAATCCGAACCAAAATTCATCTGGTTTGTTGATCATATAAAAGGAAGCCTTTTCAAAAAGGCATGGTTTTGGCTCTTTATATTTTTAACTCCACAGCCCCTATTGGCAATATGTTGGCACTTGGTAAACCTCACTCCAACAGATTAGATTAGTTTTCTGACTTTGGCTATTTGCACCCTAGATAAAGCCTTAGATAAGTTTTTCAGTTGTTTTATAACATGACACCAACAGGAGGGTGGTTTACATTGCATAATATAGGATGGCACTAAGGGTGGATTTAGCAAGGGTTATTCGACATGCTAGAGATAAGGATATGCTTTCTAACTAGTGAGTTTCTTTTGGATCTTCTTAATAAGATATTGATACGTGTCCTTAATTATTCTAAAGTGAAGTAGGGGTATACTGAGGTACTTGCCAAGCAAATTAGTGACTTCAAAGTTGGCATATATGGCTTTGCTAATGTGGGGGTACATTCTTGGGGAAATAGATGTGTGCAATGCTTTGGCTAACATGTTACCCTTAGGCATTACAAAATTCTTCTTGGATCTTCTATATTAGACAAATCTTATAGTTGGAGATACCCTAAAAGGCATGAGGTCATTAACAAAGAAGAGGTGTGATAATAGTGCGCCCTTCTTCCTAGTTTAATGGTGTCCCAATTGCCTTGTTCACTTCTTTATGTATCACTTATGAGAGCTCTCCATGCATAAGACAAAAATATAAGGGGATAATGGTTCCCTTATTGTATTCTCCGCAATGGATAAAAGCAATGAGTAGGTTTGTCATTCTATAAGATCTGCATTGTAGGTATAGTGATTCAATGCATAGTGACTTTCATGAATCTATCTGGGAAGCCTACATCCCTAAGAGTGTCCTTAATAAATCTCCAATTGAGTTTATCGAAAGCTTTCTCTTAATCTACTTTAACTGAAAACCAATCTTTATTCCCTGTTTCCTCCTCATGGCGTGTATGACCTCTTGAGCTATTATAATGTTATCAGTGATGTTCCTTCCCTTGACGAAGCTTTGATTAATAAGCGAGAATAAGATTAGCCATCAAATGTTTGAGCTTGTTTGTAAGGACTTTAATTATGACTTTGTAAGCAACCGAGCAAAGGCTGATAGACCTAAATTCCTTTAATGTGGTAGGGTTAGCGATCTTAGGAATAAGCAATATGAGAGTATTGTTTAGCCTAGTTTCAAGAGGCTTTCCATTAAAAATTGTATTAACCATATTGAAAATAGAGATTCTAATAATATCCCATTGGCTTTGCTAGAATAAGGCGTGTAAGCCATTAGAGCCAAGGGCTTTTAAGGGCTTCATGTTAAAAAGGGCTACTTTTATCTCATCAAGAGTAACATCAACATACAAAATATTGAAGAACCTTTCGAGTAGGGATGAAAGCATACCTCTAATGGCATAGATTGCTCAAACAGGCTGATCATTCATGTATAGATTGATAAAGAACTCATATGCCATATTTTGAAGGGATTGCTTGTCTAAGATCCAATCACCGGCCTCATCTTTAAGGAAGGAAATTTTATTTCTCAAAAGTCAAATTTTAGCTTTAGTATGATAATAGGAGGTGCTCTTATGACTAAGGTTGATCCAATTGAATTGAGATTTTTACAGCCAGAGTAGCTCCTCTATAAAGCAAGCTTCTTTATTTTTCTTCCTTAAAACATGCTTGAGGTCATGGAGTGAGGATGAGTGTAGCCATTCCTCTAGGGCTTTTAACTCCTAGTATGTGTGCCTTTAGTCGATGTTGTTTCTAGAAAATATTACTAAAAATGTCTTGATTCTAGTTTTGGCTACCTTGTTTGGATATTCCTTGTGAATGAAAGTGTAGGGTTTCGGTTGTCCTTGACTAGCTAAGCAAAGTCCAAGTGAGTAAGCCCTGCAGTTAAGAACTATAATGGTTTTTGTTGACTTAACTCATTGTGATTGAGCCCAAGAGAAACTTTGAGGGGCTTATGATCAAATTGTAGTTTGGTCAAGTGTTGGACTTAGGTAAATGGATAAGTAGTGGCCCAATAATTGTTGACAAGCAGTTTATCTAATTTGGTAAAAGAAAGGCCACAACTCCAGGTGAATCATGGGCTTGAGTATTTTGCATCAATGCGTTCAGTTGCAACAATAAACTGTCTGAAAAGAGGGCAGCCACATCGTCGATTATTCAAGATCATATGTCGTTCATTAGTAAAGAGGGTGGCATTAAAATCGCTAGCTAGTACCTAAGGTTCATTAATTGAAGAGGCAACGACGTCGGGAATGCCCCATAGATCTCTTTGAATTGAAGGGTCTAGACTTGCATAGACGACAATAAAGAGGAATGAGCAATCTTCACTTAAGAGCTTTGTATGAGTGTGGATGAATTGCTAGTGGTTTTGGAGAATCTTCACCTCAACATGGTTAGTCTAAAGCAACCAAATGCCATTGGAGAAGCCACTAGCCTCAATTGATGTAATAATCTTATCAATAATAGCTTTAGAGATTCGTGGTTTGACAAGGAAGACTAAATTAATCTTGTGTTCTTTAATAAAGGATTTAAGCATAGAATGAAATTTATTTTACGCTACACCTTAGCAATTCCAAATCAGAGCAACTATTGGAGTGGAGAAGCCACTTGCCTCAATCAGATGTAATAATATTATCAATAGCTTCAGAGATTTGTCGTTTGACAAGGACGACTAAATTAATCTTGTGTTCTTTCATAAAGGATTTAAGCACAGAATGAAATTTATTTTATGCTACACCTTAGCAATTGCAAATCAGAGCAACTATTAGAGGATATTAAGGGAGTTGGCACTCCATGTTGGAGTGCTTAGGATCCTCATCTTCCATTAAATTTTTATTAAGGATAATCTCTTCATCAAAAACTCATAATCGAGGGCTTTTATTATAGACTGGATGACATGTTCTGCAAGGTTGAGTGGGTTATCTTTGTTTCTGGGCTTGCTAGATGCCCAAAACTAATTTTGAATCCTGGCTAAAGAGAAGCTTGGTTAAGAGTTTTTGGTTGGGCATTCTCTTTTTTTTTTTTGTTGGCCTATCTTTATGGAGGGCTTTTTGGTTGAGTTTATTTTGGGCTTTTAGCAGGCTTCAGGGGTGATTTAAGGTGTGTATGGTCACAATAGAGTGCTTGGATTGATCTAGTGAGGTGCTTAAGGTTGAGGCTTTGTCTGCTTTGCTAGCAAAGAGGGAATTAGTTAGCGCATCAGTGGTATGCTCTTTGTGGTTCTTCAGTGGGGGAGAAGACTTTTTGGATGTATTTGAACATTTGGTAGGCAACAACTGGTCTTTTTAAGGTGCAGGGTATTTCATTATTGGTATTGCGTTGACATCCCTTTTGTTGGACGTATTTGA